ACTTGGTACCTAAAAAGCCCCACCTCTGCTCCTTATTTTTTGACTTGATACATTAGGACTGTGGTACCTTTTATTCAGAACCTGGTCACGCTTATTTGACCTATCCTGTATGATTGTGTCCATTCACACCACAATCTGAATGTAATCGTACATCAACTGAGGGTCTGTTGACTTGCAATTGTACCTTCCTATTTCCTTCTGTTCCTTTCCGATCCGTTGCAATCTGTTTTTCAACAGGTTATAATGCAAGGGCACCGAAAAACCAATGGGTGTGAATGGGGCTAATTCACACCGCTGCATTGCGTTACATGGCACTGAAAAAAAGTAGTGCATTTTCTACTTTTCTTTTTTCAGTCCAATGTAACGCAACAGAACGGAGTGGGGTCAACTGGTCCTATTTGCACCCATTAATTTTTGCATACCATCTGTTGGCATCCGTTAAAAAACAGATTGCAATGGATCTGGTGTAAATGGGGCCTAAAGAAGTACCAAATCCAGTTACTGTGTGACAAACAAGGAGCGATTACCTGCGGTAAGGGACAGATGCGCCCCTTGATGCAAACCGTCTACATCCAGGGGCGAAAATTTGTCACTAACCGCAGGCAATAGATCAGTGAGCAATTACTTGTAGACAGACACTTCATTGATTTGTACAGGCTTCCTTGTCTGCGGCTGATCAGAAACACCTGGCCGTACTCACCATTGAAATTCACTGATCTGGGAGGCCCCAAACGGCTGTGTATATGAGCCCTAGAGCTGATCACTTTTACATGTAGGTCTAAAAATAATGATTGATATGACTTCACATTCCCTTTAACCTAGGACATATATTGTAATTTTATCATAGGAGCCCCTCCAATGGTGCCCAGTGCAACAGTATCCCTCAGCCTATCTGCCTCCACCTTCATCCTGGATACAGAGCTTTGACCTGAACTTTAATCCTGATATCTTTCACACAACAGCCTTTATGATTAGTTTCTGCTCTGTCAGTTCATTACACCCTAGATTGGAGCTTTTAAGTGCAGTCCAGTTGGTTTATAAGGACTTCGATGGCATCCTCATTTACCTTACGTGCTCCGTGCCATTGCCATGTTATACTGATTGTATGCTCAGGTGAATGACACCGGTGCAATCCAGTTCACATTATGGTAGTAACTTGTTTTTTATTATAGATATTAGCTAGTGTCTATTGTCTTTTCCTGAATTGTTCTGAGACTGTCAATAAAGCAGCTGAGTCATTACACTCGCAGTGTTAACCTCTATACATGATTTGTTTATGTGATATAAGTTTGAAACCGTGTGACTTTCAACCTCCTTTCCTTGTAGTATTAGTTCACTGAACCCTGAGACAAACCTAGAAAGCTATGACTTTGCTATCTTCACACCGTATATGCTGCTATCTTTTACATTTTCATTACCTTGAATGTTGGTGATCATACCTATGGTGTTTGCAGGTCACTGAACCTGGGGTGATGATAATAATAATGTATCAATGAAGCACATATCCCATTTAGAGGTTTGTACAGTCATTAACTTAAAGGAGAACTCCAAAATATAATAAAATTAAAACTTGCAGTGGGGCTCCTCCCGCACTGCAGGGGTTAAGGGCTTGTTTCGGTCTAGGGACGAAAATAAAGCAGATATACTCATCTGAACTCCATGATATTAAAGTCAATGCTGTTTATTGACTGAGATAACACATCTCCTTAGCGACGTTTCGAGACCATGCGGTCCCGTCCTGTTTGCCTGAGGACGGGACCGCATGGTCTCGAAACGTCGATAAGGAGATGTGTGTTATCTCAGTCAATAAACAGCATTGACTTTAATATCATGGAGTGCGAGTGACTATTTTCATTTATCTACATTTCACGGAGGCATCCGTTGTCACTACCACACCCACCCAGTTGGATTTGGGTTTTTGTCCGGTCAGGAGTGCAATGGGACAGGAGGATTAAATACTCATCTGAACCTCTGGCCTGCGTGGCTGCTAGACAGATCCCCACAGTCTCTTCTTCCCTGAGCTCCAGTGGTCTAAGAACCCATGACATCATTACGTCCATTGCTGGTCCATTACACATGAGGATGCCGAGAGACAGACCACAGCCGGGGCGGAGGGGGAGAGATGGGAGTGGTTACTGCCGCAGGATCAGATGAGTGTGTCTTTTTTTATTTTCTCTCCCAGACCACATTGAACACTTCATTTTAATAAATCCTGAAGTTCTTCTTTAAATTATTTTTTATTTTACAATATTTCTGTCCAGTATTATAGTTACCAAAAAAGTTTGGAAATAGTTCAGTCAATTAAAGAAAATCCATATTTTTTAAGCATCTTTCTCAACAGGTCTCATGTTACTACAATACAAATGGTGCTATACTATATATAGGAAGGATGGTGGACACAAATATGTTGAACTCAAGTCTATCTTTTCCAGAGTCATTTACAGAAGTCCACCAACGTTGTGTATCAGTCTCACCATGTGAGCAGAAACAAGAGAGGCCAAGTTGTTGGTACCAGAGGGGGTTTCCGAGGCTGCACTGTTTGGTTGACAGGTAAGATGGCTTTCTGTGTTACACCATTAAATACAAAAGCAATTGTAGTTCATAACCTAGTGTGTTCATGTGCCTTGTTACCCAACGTTGGCCTAATTGGATTATGCCTGCTAGAGCCTATTATTAACATTAGAGAAAGGTTGGATGTGTTTGCACACGCCTACCATGTCATCCTGCCTGCAGGCACAGCTTCTGCATGCAAGTTGCAAAAATATTTCTGTTCAGGCAGTGGAGACTGACATGGTAGACATGGCTTCAAAGGGAGCAGACAGTCCCAATGCTGGCTTGTCTTGGAAGGTTGAGGGTGGAATAATAGTGGTAAAGCAAGATCTTCTAGCCTGTCTGATCACATCTTAGGCAAAGCGAGGTCTTCTAACCTGTCTCATCACATCTTAGGCAAATTAAGGTCTTCTAACCTGTCTCATCACATCTTAGGCAAAGCGAGATCTTCTAGCCTGTCTGATCACATCTTAGGCAGAGCTAGGTCTTCTAACCTGTCTCATCACATCTTAGGCAAAGCGAGGTCTTCTAACCTGTCTCATCACATCTTCCCATACTATAAAGTATTGGATCTAAAGGTGTCTACAAAAATTAGAGACCATTTACCCTATCGAGCTGTTGAAAGTTGAATGTTTGTCGGCACTTCTACGATCCTGAGCCAATGACTTGTAAAGTTTTGATGCATAACGGCCAGATAATTAGCGTTTTCAGAAGGCCAGCAATCAGAGTCTGTATTTCTGTGATGACAGATTCTGTAGGCGCAGTTAAGATTTTGCATGCCAAATCTTTTTGTTCACTGTAGATGGGGCTAGTATTGAAATGTACCAAACTAAAGATTGCTTTGCAAGCAGATTTGGCTACCATCATATTTCTCTGGCCAGCTTTAGCAGTCACATAGGCATGGTACCTTGCAATCCTGATGCATACATACTTCATAAAGCTGAACAGTCCCTTGTCAGAAATGCTGAATTCCTAGTAAATGTTCATTGTTGGAAATGTTCGCATGAAATGGATCTATGGTGCCTTCTTTTTTCCTAAAGTATTTGTCTTATACAACAAACAATGAGATTTGTGATAATTAGATACCGTATAAGGAAGACATCATAAAAAAACATTTCAGGGGATAATGTAACCCAATGTTTTGATGCCATAGTCTGCTGGAACATTTCTACAGCATAAAGCATATTGCTGCAAAGAAGTAGCTGATGCAGCTAGGGGACATTGGATGATGATGAACTTTGAATCGAGATGTCATCATTATCTATATATATATGAAGGGGACCCTGCGCGGCCCTGAAAGCGCTTGATATTTGGGTGACCTCTATCAATAAAATGGATTTGCACTGACTTGGAAACTGGTGCTGGTGTGCTGATGACATCTCAATTTAAAGTTCTACTGTTAGCGCCGCCATCCTCAGTCATTTCGAGCACCCGTTATCGTTTTGGGATATCCGGTATGGAGTGCTACAGGACATATGGACAGTGGATGATGATGATGATTCCCAGGATAATTTTTTGGCTTTTATCTCGGCCTCTACGCCTGGTGTTTTGTCCTGTGCTGATGATATGCTTTGTCTATTGCAGGCTTGTCTGGAGCTGGCAAGACAACGTTGGGGTTCGCTCTTGAAGAATACTTGGTAAGCCATGCTATTCCCTGCTACTCTCTTGATGGCGACAACATCCGTCATGGGCTGAACAAAAACCTGGGCTTTTCCTCTGAGGATCGAGAAGAGAACATCCGCCGTATTGCTGAGGTTGCAAAACTCTTTGCGGATGCAGGTCTGGTGTGCATTACAAGCTTTATCTCTCCTTATGCCAAGGTAATACATTCTATGTGGTCTGCCTCCTGTCAAAACTGTCTATACTAACATTTTTGCTTACCTTGAATGAATGTTTGCTGCTTATACCTAGTAATAAGATTGTTAATTTGGTTCTATAACTTGTCCATAATGATATCAGGCATACTTTTAGCTGTTGTAGATTATATTTACATCAATTTTTTATACATGACATTAATATTAATTTTAGTTATTTTATACAGTCCTGTTATACTGTTTGTTCACATCAATCACTGTCAAGGAGCTTTTCATATCCAATGTTGACACAGTTCTGTATAAACATAATTTGTTTTTCAGATTGCCAGATCATTCTGATTAAAAATTATGTTTCTAAACTTCACTTGAGAAGAGATTGATGAAGTTTGATTGGTGGTCACAGCAACACTTTCGCATTCCTTTGCAATATAACTATTATTTTAGTATAAATGACCCCCGTATCAGCCCAACACTAATGTGACCACATCCTTCTAAACATTTTTTTAATGGTTTCAGTACTTTCTGGGACCTGGTATTCAAATCAGCAGTTCTGAATTCACCTCAATTTTACTGACTCTGACTTGTTGAAGGCCAATGATTCAGGAAGTATTCAAGCCTGACACAGCTAGGCAGCTAGGATTTTGAGAAGGAGGTAAGCAATGCTGGCCTCCACATTTCTTAGTATAGGTTTACTCCCGGTACTCTGGTTTCCTCCCACCTTCCAAAGACATGCTGGAAGGGTAATTGGCTCCTGTCTAAATCAGCCATGTATGCATGTGAGATAGGGACCTGAGACTGTAAGCTCCTCAAAGGCAGTGACTGATGTGAATGTGCACCATTATAAAAATAAAATTTTTAGTTTTGTTCGGTCCACAGCCTGATTTTAACCTATGCCTTTATTCACACTAAATGACATGGATGGATGAATCTTCCCTGCCAGGCTTGTGTATTCTGATAGCTGGTACTAGTCGCTGTCCGAATACAGGAAGAGTGGCTGCAGCTGATTGGCTACAATTACTGTTCAGTAATTCAGGAACAATTTTCCATGCGCCTCCTTAGACAGAAATCATTTGAATAACAGACTTTTGTCAAGTCACGTGTTGCCGGCAGGGCCACCCACAGCTTGAAATTTGAGCAGTATATGGCCAGCTTTAGGCAGCTAGTAAAATAAATGTTTATATACAAATTCTCGGTTAGTTTACTGTTATTGTTGGATGACCAATATCATTGTATTAAATGTATAAAACGAGGAACATTGGCAGCTCCTAAATCTTTAATAATAAAACAAGGAACTTTGGCAGCTCCTACATTTTTAATAAAAAAAATAGAAACTTTGGCAGCTCCTACATTTTTAATAATAAAAAAAGGAACTTTGGCAGCTCCTAAATGTTTGCTGTCCTATGCCGTGGTTATTTCCCAGCTTTACAGGACAGCTGTACAGCAGCTCACTAGTGCAGCATAGAAGGCTGTTGTAGACCCAATTTGCTTTCTACTGCCCTGCTATGGGTCAGAAATGACTCCTGCTAATAAATATTGGATATTGAGCAGTTTGGATATTTAGATTTGATTCCGTATTACTCCCACTATTGCTTCATGGCTGGTCCAAAGCTATGGGCTGATGTATCCAACAGAACTTTTAAGTTTTTGCAGAACCGTTCTCGATCTGAGACGGTTACAATCCTCAGTCCCTAGCCCCTTCATACAAATATGCAAACAAGACATGCTGCCTTTTAATTGGAAGCTAGCTAACATGTTTTTTGGCAAACCTGAAAGAAACCCTTGCAAGCATGCGGATAACATGCAAACACCATGCACATAGTGTCCCTGGTGAAAGTTGAATGCAAGTTCTCGACACTTCTACACCATTCCTGAATATTGTACCTTTCATGTCTTCAATTTTCCCTTAAGAAATAGTGTCCACTCTAACAGGTCTAAGAGCTCTATGTTCTTTTGCCCTATATAGGATCGCACAGCAGCTCGCAAAATACTGGAGGCTGCTGGGTTGCCTTTTTTTGAGATCTTTGTGGATGCTCCTTTAGATATCTGTGAAAGCAGGGATGTGAAGGGTTTATACAAGAAGGCCAGAGCTGGAGAAATCAAAGGTGGGTTAGAAAAGAAATGTTTCATCATGTATTCATCCACTAATATTTCTTGTTGATACTTTTCTCCTTTTCTGATCGGTTGATCTTTAAAATGAAAAAACATTGCCTGCAATTAAGCATTGGGAAGATAACTCCTCTATTTCTAAGCATCTAATGTTAACAGTGTGTAGGCAGACCTGAGCAATGACGGTTTAGAATTAATTTCAGAAACGGTGAGATACTGAAAACACTTCTCAAAATTGGAAATATCGCTTGCTGTTATCAAGCCATTATGGGCAGTCTTACCTCTAAAGTCCTCTCTTACCTAATGACAGAGATGAGTCTCAATCTTTGCTCCTTTTATAAAGATTCACAAGAATTCACATTTATCCACCTAGCACTGTTTGTTTTTATACACTCTTACCACCACCTGCAATAATCTTACCATGTTTTACCTTTCATGTCTACATCTATGTATGTTGAATATGGTTCCCTACTTTCTAAAATGAAAAGGTCAATTTCTGTTATAGATGGGGATAATGGTATGAAATGCAACGGGGCTGTTTATTGTATGTACATATTTTGCTGTGGATGTCTATTTCTGTCTTCTGCACAATATCATCTAATTTAATATGTTTTAATTGTTAGGATTCACTGGAATTGACGCTGAATATGAAAGACCAGAAGCTCCAGAACTGGTGCTGAAGACCAACCTGAACTCTGTGAATGAATGCATCCAGCAGATTGTGGAGCTTTTACAGGAGATGGTAAGATGCAGCTGAAAGGCAGCAGGCAAATTGTGGACGGGATGACTGTTATTCTGTGTTTATCCTCTCCAGTGTGTATGGGGTAGCTGCTCCCTAAACTCCCTGGTACCTCCAGTCTGATGCATTGACAGCTACTGCATCATGTGCATATGAACGCTTATTAAGCAATCCTCAGTTGCAGAATCATCTTACACAATACCTCTGTACTGTACAGGCTATTGTCCCATCATCGGCTACAAAGGATGTCCATGAATTATTTGTGTCTGAGAACAGACTGGATGAAGCCCGGGAAGAAGCTGAGAACTTGCCTTCAGTTCAGATCACTAAGGTAACAAACTTTCACGGCTTCCTGCAAGTCTGTGTATTAAAGGGAATCTGTCACAAAGTAAAGCCGTAGTGGTAAAGTACCCAACTCGTGCTGCTTCCAGGGCAGTGAAGCTCAACTTATTTGGTGTCACTACCTTGGAAAACAAGGAAGACATGAGTTTGGAATTGTTTGCATCCAGCACATTCTAATAAAATGGATCTTTTAAACCCACTGCCAGGTTATTTTCTGCTGTCTGTGTACCAGTGGAGACATTTCCCTTTGAGATGCAAAATTAAGTTAGAAAAAGTCTCCCAAAGTGAGGGGGATTCCCCCCTTAGACAGTTGTCTCTGAAACAGGTGTCCCCATTGGAAGATTTCCCCCTCACCTCTTCTTCCGGGGACAACTCTAAAATTTAGAATTTCCCCTCACTTTTTTTCTTGGTAACAATGATCACAAGTACAAATAGAGTGGTGAATCTCCCCAAAGGGGACACAGCAATAAAATCTTGACAGAGGGTCTAACCCTAATAAAATATGTATCAAAATATATATATATATATCCATGTTTATTCACCATAAGACACTACTTGGGCTCTGTCTAGGATGTCAGGGTATATGGAGGGAGAAGCTAGGCATTCAATTACTGGGCATATTAAAAATGAGATTTATTAACCAGAGAATTATTATAATGCTTGAGCTGATTGATCACTGAATGTTAATAGAAAAGCCATAACCTTTCATTTCATTTTCCTTGAGAAAGAAAAAAAAACCCATTGTATTGCTCCCTACAGCTGGACCTCGAGTGGGTGCAAGTTCTAAGTGAAGGCTGGGCCACACCACTAAAGGGATTTATGCGCGAAAGGGAATATCTGCAAGTCATGCATTTCAACACCCTTCTAGATGGTACAGTTTGTTTTCTTTTAAATACGTAATATGTACATAAATTGTATGATGCCCTTTGTGTGCAAAAAAAACGTTCATATATCCTAATAGACCTGTCTTGTGAGGATATCTTTAGCGTGTGTAGCATTAAAGTTATGGAAATTATTTAATAACTTGATGAGTTTTCATAACAGAAATTACTAAATAACTAAGCTTGGAGAGTGTACGATGACCCCCGAGGGAGTGCCCAGAGGGGGCAGTAATGATGCGGGTCTTAGTGCTGTGTGGTCCTTCCGTAGCTGATCACCAGGCTCCATAGTTTATTCAGGTGTGAGGCAGGAGATCTGTTAGTACTAGTTACTCCAGTGATGAAGAATGGAATGGCAAGATTCTTTTAGGGATGGCCACTGAGGGCCAGGTTGCTCCCTGGAATAACTTTATATATGCAGGGCCACAGATACTTCCCCACACAGGGCCTTCTACCATCTGTCCACCTCCCTATTTAAATGAAAGTCACAATGTGGGTCCTGACATTTACAATGTAGGGCTTTGTGCATATGTTTCCGTGACTACATGTTTATCTCTAAACACACCTAATGAGTATATGGTTGGCAGTGTAGCACCATATTGCTTTATTACATCTCAGCCTCACTGCATGCCTGTCAGCAAGAAATTTATATAGCACCATGGTTATATTTTAGCTGTTTAGTAGGTGTGCTGAACATATTGGCTAATATACAGATAGCCACTAGTGGGTGGTTCTTCAAAATACATTATTTGTATATCGATATAGATAGATAGAATATATATATAT